GACACTTTAGAGAAGACAACTGAAGGTTACCTGAGCACTGACTGTACAGAGAAACAGGCACCGGTCAGACCCAGACAAGCTCTGCTCTCAGACACATTTTAACCTGATTTCTGTTTCACCACTATTGCTACAGCTCAACACATCTATGAAGAGCCATAACATTACCCACGGTGACCACCCTGCTTGCTAACTAATTATATCAACAACCTGAGCCATCTTAACACTACACACAAACACAGCTGACTTAGCAGTCTGTAAATTACACAAGTGGGTAAATCTGCACCAAAAAGTGGTGCGTTTTCTTTCCTGTTGACATGGACAGTCTCACTGGCACCTACAACTGTTAGCTAAAAGTTCCCAAACATCAAAACATATGTTCTTTTGAGAATAGGCCCATCTAGAATAATATTTTGGAGGTTCCTGGCACCCCGATCTGCCAGCCTTCCTAAGACAGATCTATTTGCTTCAGCGAATTTCTGACAACAGGTGCCTGCAGACTTAAGCAATCATCAAAAAATGTTGTAGATTGCTTTCCTGCCATGAACAGAAAGAGTGACAAAGCCAATTCTGTGTGTGTGTGTATCCGTTGTATGTGCCTATGTGTATGTTTGTGTATGTGTCTGTGTGTGTATCTATGTATCTCTGTGTCTGTGTATCTGTGTTTGTGTCTATTCTTGTGTATCTGTGTGAAGCTCTGTGTATGTGCATCTGTGTGTGTCTTTGTATATGTGTCTGTTTAAGTCTCTGTGTGTATCTGAGTCTGTCTGTATGTGTATGTGTGTGAGAGAGAGCGCGAGTCCATGTGTGCATCTCTGTGTGTCTTGTGCGTGTCGTGTGTGTGTGTGTGTGTGTGTGTGTGTGTGTGTGTGTGTGTCAGAGTGCATGTGGAGGTTAGGAGACAATTTTTAAAAGCTGGTTGTCTCCTTCCACTGCAGGTCTCTTGCAGGCCATGAGGCTTGCCTGACAAGCTCTTTGCCCTGCTGAGCGATCTTTGCAAGCTCACCAATAGGATTTTAAATAATGGGTGATGCAACCATGAGAAACTCACATCAAGTGTCCTGCTGATGGCTAACAATCCAAAGCATAGATACTGATCAGATCTGTCCTTCATAGACCGCTCAAAACCAACTCTAGAAAGTTAAACCGGCTTTCAGTAAACACTTTAAAGTGTTTTATTTTTTAATATACTGAGAGGCCTAAGTAACCACTGGTACCAGTCACTGCTGTAAACAGGGGCAACAGCTTAGATCTCGATTCACCAGGGTGTGGCTTTTCTTCCAGAACTCCGCCCTCCAGGCATCACATGGCCTGACAGAGCAGATGTGATCACCTCACAGACCTTCACAAGATCCAACCCATTAATATCCCATCTGAGAAATGGGTGTAAGGACATCAGAGCCTTGCCTGCACTCCCAGCCACTCCATCCCGACCCCGTTCAACATGGAGTCACAGGAGGGAGACTGAGGTGGGCCTTAGGGGAGCAGTGGTCACATGAACAGCCCTGGGGGAGGAGTGAGGTGACTCAGCTATTTGGGGGTCATAACCCCTAATCCAGGCCTATTAGGTCCCCAAAGAAAGTCACACAGCAAACTTAACTAAGAGGAAGAGGGTTTCTTGTTACCATCTATCCCCAAGGTCCAATAAATCACTATGACCAGCTGCCCCGACCCTACTCTACCCACCCATTTTGAGCAGTCTGCTTCTTACTATTCACCGAACTCCTGACTCCTTGACATTACAGAGGAGCCTGTCCTTCTTCTGTTGGATCCTAGGGTGCACAAGCCCATAAAAGTTACCCAGAGTTACCTGTGGGGGGTACACAAACACAGGAGCCCCTCACCCTGAAAAGATGAAAAATCCCTAGTGTCTTGAATGTTCTTGGGCTCTCCTCTACCCTGTTGTTCTGTTTGGATGTGGCGGTGTGGCTGCTGGCCAACATGGGCACGGTTCCTGTTGATATAACATTTTGTTTCATCTCCACTGGGAAATCTGCTTCTTGCTAGAGCAACAGTGACACAAAGAATGCTGATTCGTGGTGCACTTTACAGAGCATGGAGCAGGTCCCCTCAAGTGCCCTTCCAAGTAGAGGGGCTGCTATCACACAGTGGTAAGAAAGCAGCCAGACTAGACCATATCTAGGTCTCGTCTATAGCTTGGGGACATTCCAAATACCACACCCTCTAGGCACCCCAAACAAGGCCCATTCTAACCCTTGCACATTCTCTCAGCCATTCTTCTAGAGATGACAAAAACATTTCCCAACCAAGGCGCATCAAGCAGAGAAAAACTAAAACACAAGAAGCTGTATGAGAGCTGAGCACAGCTCAGTGGCACAGTGCAGGACCCTGGCTTTGATCCCTAACACTGAAATAAATCCATGCTACCCTCTACACACCAGCTGCAGGCACCTCCACCCAGGCAGTGTGAACACTTAGTATAAGACTCAGTTTGCTGCACTATAGATGATTAATAGAAACACCACATAGGACCACTGGAGTACAATTCTTCATAAGTCGATTATAGAGTATTGCTATTTAAAGGTGAATAAAATGTTGTAATGACCAAAAATAGGCTACCAGGTTTCAAGAAACTGTGTGTGTGTGTGTGTGTGTGTGTGTGATTTCTCTGTGTAACCCTGGGCTGTCCTAGAACTAACTCTGTAGCTCATGCTGGCCTTGAACTCACAGAGATCTGCCTGCCTCTGCCTCCCCAATGCTGGGATTAAGAGTGTGCACCACCACCTCCAAGCTGACGATAAATATATAAAGGTAAATTACAATGCAGGTAGATATTGAAATACTTCCTAGTATTCACAGTATTTAGTCATTCAACAGAGACTATTATGAAAACGATCACCAAAAACTGTAAACTCCATATTTCAAGTCAGCACTCTACCCTAAAACAGAGTGTTTAAGAGGCCTTCTGGATCCTCCTCCCCCAGCCCCCACCTCCGTGGTTTTGGGGCTTGTCTGTGCTGCTCCTTTTTACTTGACAGGAATCAAGCTGTTGAAACGGATACTGAGGTAAAAGGGCCAGAGCTAAAACTACTCCATGCTGCTTGCTTTATCGACCTTCTACCTATACACACACAGGAGAACAGCGCCCAGATCTACTAACCAGGAGGTCGGCTGTAGGAGTATGTATTTCCCAATAAACCCAAGCAGCCCTGGCTGTAGCCTGCAGCATCCTCTTCCTGCCCCAGCCCACAGAGTGTACCATGGTTAGTTTCCCCCTCTAACTTACAGGATGCTGCCTCCTCTCCAACAAACAGACTTCTCATTAATGTTCATGGTGCTTGTGCAAAAGTTATATGTCACTCACAGTGGGACCCCAAATCTGCAAGACGGAGCCCATAAAAGATCAGTTACTATAGTCATAATACACTAATTTAACCCATGGTCTCTTCCAGCTGTTATGGTAGGAGCATTCCTTGTGGCTGCCTGTTTAGCAATTATCACACACACACACACCACACACACACACACACACACACACACACACACACACACGTGCACCTCCAGGTAATGACTGTGACCTTGCTCTAAATAGCCCTTTAAACCTTGGAGGAAAGGTGTTGGCCAATTAGTGCTCTTATCTTTAAGGGGCACACAACAGAGATGAGATAATTTCTAAGAAGCACTTAAGGAACATGTGAGATTTGCAGCTGCAGTGCATAGACTTTTTCTTACAAACTCAAGTTGCTTTTTAATTAAGAGAACAGCTAGGTGGCAGAGGTCACTTTTCATGCCCGTCCTTTGAATCCCTAACTGAATTCATCTGGAAGCTCATCCATTTCATGCCAAGTTCCAAGGCTCCATGCCATGATCATGGTTTTGACCAGCTCTTGGGTTAGGTCCTCACAGCCTCTCCGCAGAAGAACATCTGCTTCTGGAAGGAGAGGGGCCCGGGAGCCTGTGAGGGGCACCTCAGATTCAGGTAGCCTGGTGAACAGGTGTCTGTAGCAATTCCCCAATGTCAGAACTCTCTCTCTCTCTCTCTCTCTCTCTCTCTCTCTCTCTCTCTCTCTCTCTCTCTCTGTGTGTGTGTGTGTGTGTGTGTGTGTGTGTGTGTGTACTTCAGCTCAGGTGGCAGGCTTGCTCTTTTGGGGTACCTGCTCTGAAAACTTTGGCCCGCCTCCTGGGTTTTGTGCTAACCCACAGAAAATTGTAAACCCTTCGTTAAAAGGTGTTGAAAATTGTTCCCTTTCCATCGGTCATAGTAGGACTCTATCCTCCTGGCTTCGTGCTGTTCTTAAAGACAGTAAAACCTCATGCTGTGCTCTGGTTTCTTGGGTAAGGCATAGACTGGAGAGTCTGGGAGTGATGGAAAACAAGACTGACCGGGTTTTAAAGAGAAGAAATATATCAGATTTGTGCCTGGGACCACTTAGTTCGCTCCTGCCTGTGCCCTCTACTTCCCCGCTGAGTCCAGGAAAACCATTGCTGTAGCTGGTTGGAGAGAGTGGAATAAGATAACTCGCGTTTCTGATCAGACTTCCCTGCTTAAGGGATAGAAGGTGGAGTTGGCACATCGCCGAACCCGGACAGGGCCAGGACCTGAGTGGTCCCAGCTCTATTGCTGGCTCTGGCCTCCCGAGCACCTTGGGACTCAGGGGAGCCTCCCCTGGGAGGCAGGCAGTGCGCATCAGGAGCGCAGTGCTCAAAGGTGGCCAGCCTGCAGCCACTTTTCCCAGGACTTTGCTCACCAGCTGACAGTCTTTCCTGAAGAGGGCACCGGGAGGGCGCGGGAAAAGGCCCCAAAGGCGTCACCTAGAGATCTCTCCTCCAGAGATAGGGCGCATCAGTCCCCCTCCGACCCTGCCCACCTCTCGGGCCGGCAGGCGGGAGAGGACGAAGCGCGGAGCTCCGGATGTCCCTGCATCTGCCTACATCGAGCAGAAGGCGTCTGCAATCACCGCACTCATTAGAAAAAAAAATAATAAAACAAACAACAAAACCTGCCTGGGCAACCAAAATCCAGAAGCAGCGCTTACGCTTACCGTTGGACCGCCGCACGATGTTCTCCAGAAACGTGTTCTGCGGGGCCACCAGTCCCCGCCGGCCCCCAGCCATGGTCATCCTCCCGATTGCCCGGGATCTGGGGGCGTCCGGTGCCGCGTTTCACCGCAGCAGGCGGCCGGGCGCGCAGCCCGCAAAGGTTCCCAGCTCCCCGCGCCCCATGCGCCCCGCAGCCCCGGAGCGCAGGGGCGGCGGCTGGCTTCTGCAGCCGCCCTCGCCACGCTCCGCACCTCCCCGCTGCGGCCCGCCGGGCTGTGCGCTCGAGTGCCCAGAGCTCGGTGCGCCACGGCCGCCTCCCGTGGGCGGAGGGAGCCAGCCAGACCAGGGCGCCCCCTACAGGGCGCGCATCCCTCGGGGACCCAACCGCAGCGAGGAGCCTCGGGGTGAGGCTGGGACTGCAGCGGCACCCTCTGGGCACAGCGGGAACTGTGTCCAGAGTGTGCCTGGGGCTGGGTGCAGAGCAAAGTGAGCAGCTTTCTTGATTGAAGTCACCCACGAGAACGTTACAAGGAGTCTCGGGAACACCAGGATAAGACTTCCTTTGCGCTGCTCCGGGCCAGAGTAGCGACCTCCAGGCTCTACAAACAGCATCCTGCCCGGTTTCTTAGCCTGCCTACCCAGCTCCCCCAGAAATCAACCAAGTGTCTAAGGGGACCAACTTGTGGGATGACTGACAGATTCAGCTCCTAGGAGCCCTTTTGGTCTTTACCATCAACATGCCTGCAACCTCCTCACGTGATAAATGGCTCTTCCCACTTGGTTGTTGTCCTTTCTTACAAAGCAACCACTTTACCAAAAAAGAAAAACAACAAAACGTGAGTTGGAGCCATTGTGGAACGTCTTAAGATTCATGTGTGAGGTTAAAAATGGGAACAAGCAGGCTGCCCAGCATCAAAGAAGTGAGCTGCCTCTGATGGCTTCCCAAAGTATACCAGACGTTAGTTAAACAGCAGTAACCCTGTCTTGGAAGAGAATCCACAGGGCACAGATGAGGCACGTGCAGCTTCAGGCAGGCCCCAGGTAGAAACTACTCCGACCTTTTGTTCCCTGAAGAGGGGTGATCCTTGAAGAGGGGTGTTCCAGCTGCGCATGTCTTCTTGCTGTGAGTGTGGCAGGGGACTGACACTGTGTCCACAGGTGGATTGGTTGTTAACTGGTTAGTTTCAGTTTGGACAAAGATCCAAAATAAAATGCAAGAACAAAACTGACCCTGGGACCCCTGGCGCCTGAGATCACCATACTGACACACCTTAATAGGTTACAAAGTCACCCTATCTCAGAGTGTAATCTCAAAAGCTAATTCCATCCAAGCACTGTCTCAGAGTTGTGGACAGGGCGCTAAATAAATCCGAGAATAGGGTACTGACTTTTAAAAGTCTGTCCTGGGGCAGAGAAGGTTTGCAAGCAGTTAAGAACACTGACTGCTCTTGCAGAAGACTTATATTTAGTTCACAATAGTTCAAAACCATCTGGAACTCAAGTTCCAGGGCATCCGATGCCTTTGTCTGCCCTCTTCAGGCACCAGAGACACACATGGCACTCATACTATACATGCAGGCAAAACACTCACACTCATAAAATAAATCTGGGCGGGGTGGGAATGTGGACTCAAATGTCATTGTCAGAGTGACTAGATAAGCTGGGCCATTATAAATGTCACATTTCATCTATCCAAGCAGTGGGTCCTGCCAACAGATGATAGCTGGACAAGACTGGCATAAGCTGTGACTTTAGAATAATGCTGAATTTCTCCCATTGGATATCATCAGCCCCCATGCAGCTCAAGCTGCATTTCTTAAACACTAGCTCCGTCTAGTGGTCCTTTATCTTATTACAAATGAGGTAATCACAGTACCGGCAGAATGTACTGTCTTGATGACTACCCACTTCATTTGATTAGGTTCATTTGAATAAGGCAACACCTTACAGCTAATTATGGTGGGGAATGAACAAAGACCCTTCAGTCAATCTCATGCACCTGTTTGTGGAAGAGAAAAAACAGTGCGTATATGTGTGTGTGTGGGGGGTTACCTATCATAAAGAGACTCTCATGTTCATTGGCTTAGATAAACAGATGACATTTATTGGGGTGAGAGTCTTGGTAAGCTACCTGTTGAACAGATAGCTCAGAGTTACACTTCCTGTTTAAAATGCACCATCTCTGTGTCTCTCCATGCAGATTGTTAGTGTGCATCTTTTTAGAGACTAATTTTCATGGCACACAAAACACTAAAAGTCAATGATCTCTAAGCACTTTGTGACAGTTCTCTGGCTCTTTAAAATGCACACCCAAGTGTTCCCAGTGTGTGGCTGGCCCTTGGCTCATCTGACTGGAGGAATAGCCTCATTCTTCCCTGAGAATTGAAGGAAGCTGCTCTTGCCCCTAAGTACCCCATCTTTCATAGACCCACACAGCAAATTTGAAGCCAGCCCGGACACAGAAACCTTGTCTTGAAACTCTCTCTCTCTCTCTTTCTCTCTCTCTCTGTCTGTCTTCTCTCTCACACACATGCACACACATATAGACACACACCATGCACACACACTCATACACAGAGAGACTCATACTTAAACTCACTCACAGGTGCACACACGCAGAGACACACACCTACTCACACTCACACACAGAGAGAGACACACACATACTTTCTCACACTCAAACACACACACACACACACACACAGTCCTAGCACTGGAGAAACAGCGGCTGGCAGCTTTTTGGGGTTTTGCCAGCCAGCATCATCTTCCCAGCAAGCTTCAGAGCAGTCAGAGGTCCAACAGTGCCTGAAGATTGACACCTGACACTGTCCTTAGACCTCCACCTCCCCATCCCTACTTCAACCACCCCATCCTTCCCCTACCCCCAACCATGATGCTCACCCATTGGAGAATAATTTAAAGCTACTTACAAATGTTACATTTTATTTTCAAAGCTATATACACAGAGTCGGATTTGTACTGAACACAGTGGATTCTAAGGAAGTAAAGGAATGGTGACAGACACCTACTCTGGGAATCTCAGCATTAATTTAATTTATTTGTTAACATCTAATTATTACTAACATTTAATAAAGGCTTTTTTGCATCACTTCTCTGCATTTAGCTACTTTCCTTCTTTGCCATGCTGTCTTTCTTTCTCTCTTTGTAAGTAAGCTACAGTTCAGCTTGCTTTCTCCACTGAAGACCACTCTTCTTCTCCCCCCAGGAGAGCCCCCTTTTTAGGAGAATAGTTATTCTGCCCAGGAACTTAGAAGCCAGAGACTGGGGCAGACTCAGTTGAAGCCACTCTAGACTCCAGCCTTCTCTCTCCACTTTTGGAATTTCTCCTGCTGTGAAGTTCAAGCTTCACCAATGCTACTCAGCTCCTCTTTGCATTCTGAAAGATTCAGGAGACACTGCATTTGGTTTTGAAAAGGCTCAGGTGTTTGAAGGATGTTATACAAAAGTAGCACTGCCTTCCGGGGTTAGCCTTCTATGACTTCTATTTATTGTTACTATTGGGAGGTATCTCTTAATTTCTCTCTTATTCATCTTAGAGATTTGCTAACTTAGTTAATAATATTTGATTCTGTCCTTGTTTTTTGCATAAATTCTTCAACTGAGGTTTATTCTATCCCAAGCTGCTGTCCTTATATATGCTTTTCATCTCCTCCTGTAAATATCTCTGGCACTGTCATGGTAGTCATTATTGCTTTAGCAATATTTAAGTCATAAATTAGCTTATGGTTATCTTGAAGATCTTTATTTCTGGCTTAATTTCGCACTGCTGTGTATATCTGATGTGTGTATAAGCATACATATGCTAAGGTCACAGGAGATCTCTATAGAGCCCTCCTCACCTTCCTCCTTTACAGGATTCAGGGGATTGGATTTACATTATCAGAGGCTTATGCAGCAAATGCATTAACCACTGAGTTGTCATGTTGGTCCTACCCTTTGATTTTAAAAGATAGGTAGGTAACTTTAGTAGATGTAGTAATCTTGGTTAGCAGTTACTCTCCATCAGGATTTAAATTACATCAATCTGTTCTCTCCCTCCTACCTTTAAGTTTCTGGTGGGAGACCTATTGTTACTCCAATGTTGGCCTTGGCCCTTGTGCCTTGAAGTTTTCCATATTCTGTCTTTGTTCTGCACTGTCATCATTTTAAGTATAGTATGGAGAAGTTCTTTTCTGACCTGCTTTATTAGAGATTCTAAATGCCTCCTTTATTTGGAAGTCCACATTCGTCACAAGAATTTGGGATGTTCCTGCTAAGATTACAGTAAATGGGTTCTCCTGTCCCTTTAGTCTGTATCCCATACCCTTCTTTTACACCACAGACTTGTAGGTTTCATCTCTTAATCATGTTATAGGGTCTTGCATGTTGCAGTTGTGATTAGCTTTTCAATTATTGCTATCTGATTCTAATAACCCATCCAATCCCTGGTGTTCTTTTATCTTTTTATTCTATTGGCGATGTTTCCATCGGGTTTCTCGGTTTTGTTTAGTGAGCATTCTGTTTTCAAGATTTCTCTTTTTTCATGGTTTTATCCCTCTGTAGAATTTCTTGTCCAAGTTGCTAAGTTTCTTGTCCATGTCTTGACTTGATTTCATTTGTTTGTCTGAATACTCTTTGAGGTCATACACCTTTTTAAAACAAGGCTTTACACTTGAACATTAGTTGCTGGCACTTCTACCATTCCGTTGTCTTTGGGTTGAGTTACTGAGGAGCTCTGAGCTTGTGCAGGAGTTGTATTTTGTGCTGCTGTGTGTTTAGTTTTTCATGTTTTTTATGTTTCTTTGCTACAGTTTGTGTATCCAGTAGGATGAAAACCCTTCTCTGGAGGTCTCAATCCCCAATATCATTTGGAAAAAAGAAAACAAACTTCCATAATAGCAATAGTATCAAAAAAAAAAAAAGACAATAAAACTCAGGAAAGGGTGACTACTATATTATTAATAACCATAGGAAATAAAAAGGCAAAAATGGAGAATAAACTGTGAACCTAAAGATCAATTAAGTATAAAAAATATTATCAATAGAATAAGTCGGGCATGGTGGTAGGTGTTTCCCTCTCTCCCTTCCTCTCTCTTTCATTCTCTCTCTCCCTCCCCTCCCCTCTCTCCTTTCTTTCTCCCTCTCTCTCCCTCTCCCTCTCTCCCCCTCTCCTCTCTTCCTGTCTCTCTTCCTCTCTCTCTCTCTCTCTCTCTCTCTCTCTCTCTCTCTCTCTCTGCAGACAGACCCACTTTACTTTGCTCTGTATCCATGTGGCTTCCCCCAGGCAAGTACTCTTTTCCCTCC